CAGCTAAATATCTAATCAGATTGAGTAGCTTACTCACAAGCATCTTCCAAAGGCAGGTGAAGTTTCCCTTTGGAGGCAGGCGGTTCCTAGCTCGTGAGTTTGGGGGGAGAGAGCCAGTTTCAGATGTTAAGGCTTCTCTGTCCCCTGCCTGGCTGCTGCGTCACCTCATGGCCGGAGAGACCGCTTCCTTCCCTGTCCTAACTTATATAGCCCCTGTGACCTCATTCACCTGGGCCAGCGGAGGTCAGCCCCAGTTGGCTGTCAGCCAACCAATTTGAAATGCATCACCTGTTACCGGGCAGATCCCAGCTCCCAGGTAGAAACCCCTTACCCAGGTAAGTGATGCAAGTCAAGTAAGCAGAGGGAGCAGGTTTCCCCCTCCCTCAGGAATGCAGCCAGCTCCAGTTCCCTAAAGAGACAGGCTGAGGGTGTGGTCCCCTGTGTGCTGGGCCCATCCTAATTGAATGGTCACAGCATAGAGATTTAAATCACAGTGTCACAGGGCAGAGATTTTTGGGGAGAAACCAAGGTGGCTTTCTGCCACAGGGCCTATATGGTGCTGACAGCAGGGCCTCCCAAAGTATGGGGCTCAGGGCGGTCGACCCGATTTGCACCCCCCCAAGGGACCAATGTTCCCTCTATGGTGTAGTGATCCGTGAGCACGCCGCTTCAGTCTGTGAGCATGCTGCTTTGGTCTGTTCCCAAATTGGTCTGTTCCCTCCTTCCGGCGTGTGCTGCTTCACTCCACCACACAGTAACACACAGTATAACAACAAAAGATGATACAGCATAAATCTCACAGTCAAAACATAGAAATAGAAATAGGCGAGAGAGGTTGTTGCCAGAAATACAGAGGGTGGTAGGAAAGGCAGGTTTCAGACAGCCTCTACCACCTTTCCCAGATGAGAGATTGTGAGATCATGACTCTTTTCTCTGCTCTTGTTAGAGACAGTTCCCTGTAACCCAGAACTTCCCATGGGCTCGTGCTGCTGCACAGGCCTGCTATTTATTTGAGCTTTGTCAAACATGCAGTGATACTGTTGTGGCTGTCTTCTGCAGTGTTCTTCTATCCATCAGCAAGCAAATGCCAAATTGCAAATACCCTCATGGTTGTGGCTCTTGGGAAGTTGGTGGAATTTTTGAGCGGAGCTTCAGCTGGAGCAGCACAAGAGAAATAAGCTTAAAACTTTTGTGTTTTACTTAAATGGAAACTTCCCAACTTGTATTCTGAACCAAACCTTGGAGGAATCTTTAACCAAAAATATTTATTTCTGCAAACCTAAATGACAGGGACTGGGGAGCAGAGCAGTCCCCTGGAGCTGGCGGAGCCTGTGGAGCAGTTCCCCGGAGCCAGCGGAGCCTGGTCCAGACCCCAGCCCCAGCCTCCACCGCTGCCTCGCCTTGGGGAGTGAGGCACTCTGACCCAGCCCCCATCCCCCCCCCCACCCCCACCTCGCCTTGGGAGGAGCCACTGCCTGCCCCATGTGAGGAGCTTACCTCTGGTAAGTGTCCCACACTGGCCCTGATGCCTTTGCCATGCTCTGTGTCCAGCTCCTCTCTGATCACGTGCGTGGCATGAAAAAGTTAGTGCATGGCAAGATTTTTAATCGTGCGTGGCCATGCATGTGCACAGCTTAGAGGGAACCTTGCTAGGGACAGCCCTGGGTGCACGTCTAGTGTTATCTATTGAAGCACACTGCAAACAGTCCTTTATGCACAGCAAGCTATGTAAACACTTTGTAGCCACACCCCAGCTAGTTTTTCCTGGCAATAAAAATTCACTTCCCTTCCCCTGCTTCTCTTTCTGTAATTTCTTCAAAATCTGATTAGCAACATGATGATTGTTGAATACCTTCACAATCACTTTGCAGTTTGCCAATATTGTCTTCACTGTATTCACACTTACTGTGTCCTTTGCCAGAAGATTCAACTCATGACCAAGAGAGCCAAATACTATTAAATGAGGGTACTTTGCCTTTAATATTTGCCATGCAGCTTTCATGTTACTCACATTATCAGTTACAAAGGCTTGTACCTTGGAGAGACCTGCACTTTCAGTCTCTTCACTCAGTAATTTAGCTATGTATTCACCTGTATGATGAGAAGATTTGGTAGCAATTGCTTTCAGGAATACTGGTTCAGGTGTTGCTAACATGATGTTCAATAAAGGATTTCCTTGTATATCAGTCAATCTATCTGACATCAGAGTCAGTGATTCTGCTTGACCAATCCTTTAAGTAGCCAGTGTTTGAACTCTGTCGTACTCTCTATCTAAGAGAGAATGTGATGAGCAATAATGTGATGGTAACTTACAGGATGCGCAAATTAGTTTGTAATGTTCTTTCCAGTATTCATTTTTCAGTTATGGAAAGAGGTGTACTACTTACGAATATAGCTTAAGCTAATGTAACCTCTGTTTTTCCTTGATCTTCTTTTGACATTTTATCCACAAAGCTTGATTAAAAAACTTGACTGTCTTGAACGGCTACTCATGGTGGATCTCATATCTGGTGAGTGACCTTAAAAGCAAGGATCCTGCTGCCTCTTCCCCCAGACCTGGCAGATCAAAATTTTCATTTTCCTTTTTTTACAAATCTGTTATTTCACTTGAGCTACCAAGTTCCTACAACAAAAGGGGGAAAAGATTTTTATTTTAGCCTATTCTAGTCTGGCCTCATCCATCTGAAGAAGGAGAAGCAGGAGGTAGCTTGCTTCCCCCCTCCCTGCCAGAAAGAACACTCTGCTGCTCCACTTGCTGCTGCTCAGTTGCCCTGGGACTGCAGAGCCAAAGGGAAGCATAGTCTGGCCTCTGCCATCGGCCAGAGGACTAAGCTCATGCTGCTGGGTTGAAATAGTTAACTATTTATCTATTATGTCATTAAAAAAATATATTGTTAAGCCTAAGCTACTTTGAGTGCTTAGTGCAAGCAGAAAAGCAGGATACAAATATTTTAAATAAATAATAGTCCAGAGTTTTATTAACAGTTTTTAAAATTATACTGTTTTAAAACAATATAGATGCTAGTCTTTACTGCGAGTTGTTTAATATATTAATTTGTTTACTTGCATAGGATTCCTAAAGTAGACCTTTCTCAGATGATGTTGTTCCACCACTTCATAGTATTAGTTTTTTGTATATGGCTTTTACTCTTTCAGGATGGTTTCTACATGGAATTAAATGTTTCTTTATTCTTGTTGAGTTGTTACCATACTCCTGCCCACAATATTTACATCTACCAACTTTCTTCCTTCCTTCAGTGGCTTGAACTTCACTATAATGATGCCACATACTAGTTTTTTTCTGATTAGGCATTATTATGACTACTTCAAACCAAAACCACTAAAAATCTAACAGCTTTCATGCAAAGACTTCCAACTTCCCCAACTCAAGAAAAGAAATGAGAAACTACTGTGTGCTTACTGAACTGAAAGTGAAACAAAAATTAATCACAGTTTTGGTTTTGCTTTCACTTGCAGTCTGAGATGAAATAAGAATTTTAGCTTTGGCTTTGATTTGACCTGCACAGCCAATTAGGTGAATTTGTAACTTGATCAATAAAACATGTATGTACTTTCATGCTTCCCAGGGATAATCACCTGAAAAACATTAATTACACCTCTGAAACTGCCAAGCTTGCCTAATATTGTATTGGCATCCATTCGTTGTTACTAATGAATTTTATGAAACAATGAATTTTTAGAAATGGAATATTACCCATGGAAAAATAAAGCACTGGAAAATTTTCTGGAAAATTTCAGAACAAAAACTTGGGTGAATGGGTCTGCTCTTTTTTACTAAGAAGAAAGTCTTTAAAAACATTCTGCACCAAAATCAAAGCCAAAGCAACTAATTTAATCAATTTCACCAGGAGGTCTAATGAAGGCAAGGTGAGTAGCATGAGGAACATCTTTATTCCTGTTGACCCTATTTATTATCATAAATATTCTATTTCCTGGAATATATATTTGCACAGCTGAACACAGAAACGGTATGCTTAATGTGTAAGAAAATACTGCCCATAATTTCAGCTCAGCTTCACCTAAATATAGGTTGTATTTTGATCTTGATGGCATTCATTCCTTCCGAACAAATTTAGTTTGTATTGATTTAGAAAATGCTACATTTTAGTTTCAGTTGAAACTATAAAATTTATCAGCCTTCTTGTGATTTAGTCCTTTACATTGCATTATATTGAACTGCATAATGTAGTTCCAGAATTGCATTATGTTGAACAAACCCAGTTCCTTTATTGATCAAAAATCAGCTAGTGTTCACAGCTCTCTTTGTTATTGGAGCAAGTCTATTTAACTTTTTCAGGACCCAGACTGGAATAATCTCCAGCATGTCCTGTAACATGTAAAATGAATAAACTGTCTTTTTGAGATGACAGCTGGCTTTGAGGGAAAAGAGGGCTTGACCTGGCCCCCCATGACCAAAAGGGGCTTGATGCAACCCCAGCCCAGCCCCCCTGATCCAGCTGTGCAGGAGGGGAGGGGGCATGGCCCAGTTCCAATCTGGTTACCCAGAGGGAAGGGTAGCCCCACTCCAGCCTGTCATGTGGAGCTTGGGTTTGGGGATTTGGCAGCAGAGGATGGTGGCCAAATTAATTACAACAGCTTCCCCACTGCCAAATTTTATAACCTGTGGGGAGACTTGTAGGCTAGATACAATGGGGGTAACTTGTTTAAGCTAATGCTAATGCATAGCAAATTGAAAACAACTCCATAGTCTTATATCAGGTCCATTTGTCACCCTTTTAATCCAGTGAGTTGGAACTTAATAGCACAATTTACTTTCTATAGCCAACTAAATTTGCTGTCAAATTCACATGCGTCTTGTGGACTTCAAGACCTTTTTACTTGGATCATCTGAGGCGAGTACTTTCTGTTTAGGTCAGGTGGTTTAAAAAAAGCACCTAACTCATGAGGCATATAGTTTGTATGATATTGCTGACGTTCTTCCACTTAATTTGTACAGGTTTTTTTTTTTTAAATACTATTGCTGTACCCGATCAGTCTACCACTTTTGGAGGGTGGAGAGACAGTGGCCTTAGAGTAGTGTGGAAGGCAAGGTAGATTTACACCTTATAGAACATCTGCCTTTTTCACATTGCTTTTTGCAATGTAAGCCCATAATGATAGTTCATAAAAGGGGACTTTAAATTGGATATCAGGAAGAACTTTCTAATTATGCTTATGTGTTTAAGTACTCAAACACAGATTGCCTAGCCAGGTTATAGAATCTGTGTCATTAGAATTGTTTAAATTTAGATTAGACAACTATTTAGCTGCAATAGTTTGGACACAGGGTCTCCAGTTCCCTTCCAACCCTATTTTTTGAGGATTCAATTGTTCTTTATAAAGGGTTACAATGTAACACTAATCCTTGATTGCTGCCTTTAGGATGGGCTGCATCTCTCTCTCATCTTTCTAAGGCCAAACATGGATAATAGAAATAAGAATGGAAAGTGGATCTTTTTGTGACGAGTTCATTTCATAGATTTCATTGGCATTTGGGCTAAAGGGATCCCGGAGGATCATCGAGTCCAGCCCCTTGCCCCAGGGGCAGGAAGTCAGCAGGGATCACAGGATCCGAGCAAGATAAGCATCCAAATGTGTCTTGAAGGCATTCAAAGTGGGTGCTTGAACTGCCTTTGGTGACAGTCTGTTCCAAACCTTGGGGGCTCAGACAGTAAACGAGTTCTTCTTTATGTCCAGCCTGAAATGGTCGTGGAGGAGTTTGTGACCATTCGATCTTGTTATCCCTTGGGGCGCTCAGGTGAACAGATGTTCCCCCAGATCCTGATGAGCACTCCTGATAAACTTACAGGTGGACACCAGATCACCCTGAGCCTGTGCTTTTCTAGGCTGAAGAGTCCCATGGCTCTCAGCCTCTCATCATAAGGTCTGTTTTCCTGACCTCTGATCATGTGTGTGACTCTCCTCTGTGCTCTTTCAAGCTTCTCCCCATCCTTTTTGAATTGTGGAGCCCAAAACTGCATGCAGTACTCCACCTGTGGCCTCACCAAGGCCGAATACAACGGGAGAATGATGTCTCGGGATTTGCTTGAGAAGCATCTATGGATGCAAGCCAGCGTTTTGCTCGCTTTACTAGCTGCAACATCACATTGAAGGCTCATGTTCATCTTGTGGTCAGTCATGACCTCCAAGTCCCTTTCATCTGTAGTGCTAACCAGTGTAGCACTGCCAAGCCTATAAGCATGCCGCAGGTTTTTCCTCCCAAGGTGGAGAACCTTGTATTTGTCAGTGTTAAATGCCATCAGGTTCTCATCTGCCCATTTCATGAGCCTGTCAAGATCTGCCTGGATCACCCTCCTGTCCTCAGGTGTGGGTGCTTTACCCCAGAGTTTGGTGTCATCGGCAAACTTGGCCAGTCCGCTTCTGACACCAATGTCCACATCATTGGTGAAGTTGCTAAACAGCATAGGCCCTAGGACAGAGCATTGAGGGACCCCACTGGTGATTGCGCACCAAGACTATTGGCTTCCATCAACCACCACCCACTGGGTCCTACCGTGGAGCCAATCCCCCGGCCAGTGGATCGTGGTGCGGGTGAGGCCACAGTCAGCCAGTTTTGCCAAGAGGTGATCATGGGATACCAGATCAAAGGCTTTTTTAAAGTCAAGATATACGACATCAATTTCTTCCCCCTTGTCCAGGTGATAGGTCACCTGGTCATAAAAGGAAATAAGTTTGGTCAATCAAGACCTACCCACAACAAACGTATGCTGGTGATCCCTTAGGATATTGCTGTCAGCTAGTCTGTTAAGGATGGCCTCTTCGCTAATCTTTTCCAAGACCTTCCCCAGGACAGAGGTCAGGCTGATGGGCCTGTAGCTTGCCGGATCTACTTTCCTTCCTTTCTTGAAGATTGGCACGACATTGGCCTTCTTCCAACTATCTTGTGTATAAACGTATTAAATAAAGCTTCAAATGATATTCAAATGTGGAGGGACAAGGGGGCATTTGAGAGAAAGGGAAGTAATAGAAACCATATTAAACAAGGTCTGAACATCAGTTTCTGGTAAATGTGTTTGTTTTGTTTTCAGTGCATCATCTTCTATCCTGAAGCATTTCTTACTGGAATGATACTTCATTGTCTATCAAACAGTATGCCTACACATTCAACTTGTTGTGAATTTTTGTGCCTATGTTGTCCTTTGCAACAATGCTGCATGATTACTGCATGCACATCTAATATTTGTTTCACAATCAAGACATTGTTGCCTTGTATCTTTGTAGCTCCACAGCCTGATTATGTTTGTTTGGCAATAAACACTCAGCATTTTGATCAGCTATCCCATGGTGCATTCTATTGCTGTTATAAATGCTTTCTCTTATTTTTTTGCACTCTGGTGTTCTGAGATATCTATCAGAAGTTAATGGGATTATGGGGACAAACGGATCAATTTCCATGATTCCTCTTGTTTCGTTTTGTTGTCTCTTTGATTTTTATGAGCCAGTATCATTTTGAAAGTACTGTCAGGTGTGAGAAAAGTAGGCTTTATGTAAGACATTTATTATTACTGCAGTTGATTCTTGTGTATTTCAGTGAAATGATTTACTTACACCTAATACATGTGAATTATCAGTTATATTTCACCTTAATTTTTGTCATATTTGTAATGTAGTGCCTTTCAGTGGAATGTTTGTCTTCATTATGTGGCTCTGGATTTAGGACAGTAATACTTCAGTTCAGAAGAGGTCTGATACTGAGGACTAAGAAAGAAGATAAAATTGATGTATTACTGTGTATTATTTTAAAGGGAAATTTTGTTAGTATTTAAAAAAAAAAAAAAAAAAAAAAGCAGTAAGTTTGTATAGGATTATTAGGAGGCCATTTGTCCTTGGAAAGTTATGTGCCATTTCATCATCTGGTGTTGTCCTCTGCCCCTTTTTTACATTACTTTTGTGTACAGTAAAATAGTGGTATACAGTACACATGACTTAACAAAAAGTCTCCTTTTTAAAAATATATTATGCTGCTATTTTTATCTGGGATGGAGGGAGCGTACTAGACAGTGCGTGTAGTATGGGATATGACACTAGTTACAAAAAAGGTTATATAACACTTGCTATAGATTGCTGTGTGATCATACCATATCAAAGTAAAATTACTTCCAAAGATGATTTACCAACATGTAAAAACGAAAGATGTTGAACAAGAAAACACTTTGTTTGTGGATGCACAAGATGTTTTGACACAAGACAATTCAACTGGACCCACAACAAATTTAAATTTGCACACAGCGTGGCTTGACTACTGTATTTAGCTGAAGAATAACTTATCAGATATTGCCCTACAGTAAAATTTTTGGCTCCAATGAAACTAATAAGATATTTCTAGTGACTTTAGAAAACCTAGAATTTCACCCCATATTCTTATTGGTAAACTGTGCAAATTTATTTTCAAAAGGATGGACACGTTTTAAATTTTCTTAAGCCCAAATGTTATTTTGTGGTGTCACATTTCAGACTAGAACTTCACTTTCAATAATAACAAAGCAGAAAATTGAGTTTTTTTAAAGAAAAATGTATAAAAGGGTTTGGATTGGGCATTGGCACTAAATGCTAGTGTTTTATTTTAAAAAGTCATAATGCAAACATAACATCAAAAAAACTTTCATTGCTAATTGCTAATTTATTTAGCTAAATCATTTAAATGCAAAAAAATCTGATATTAAAGCTTAGTCATTTTGTTTTAAAAAAGCCTTTGAATAAGGAAACAAACAGAGAAATTCACTTACAAATAGTAACATCACTTCATCTCTGAAGAATGTGTTTGAAGCATACATTGCAAAAAGAATCTGGCCAGGAATAGCTTTCATATATTGGTTGTACTTGTAAAAATAATTGTAAACCTACACATACCTTTTGCTTTTTTAATGTAAAAAATGAATGCAACAGAAAGCAATTTGGAAAGGATTATTTGTACGTCAATACGTAATGGTGTCCTTGGTCTGGCAGAGAGCTTCTGATTAGGTTTAAATAAAAATACAGAAAATAGTTTTGCTCTGAAAAAAATAGAGTGTTTTGAGATACCTAAAACAGAGCATATAACACAACACAATCAAGATTCTTATAAGCAGAACATTCTTTCAATATATAAAAATTGTCACAGAAATTATTAGAACACTAATTTTACTATAGGATCTCTACTTCATGCATGTTTGCTCCTTCTCCTTTATGAACATACTTTAAATGATGGGCTTCAATAGCATCTGGAATAACTGTGTACTTGAAATAACTTTGATGTGGATATAGCTTATGTTGGTTTATGGAGTACCTGTGCATATTGTATACGTGTGTAGCTACCACCTTGCACACAGTTCTCAGAGTTTCCTTAGTTTCCTTATGAACAAGCGTAAGAAGACTCTTTAATCTTTCAGCATACTATGCCCTACATGTGTAATACAATACAAAACAACATTCATTTTCACCTATTAAATTATTGAACTGTGTGCAATGGCTTTTTCCTAGGAGCTTTAATGGATTGAACATTTTTTCTGCAAGCTACTTTCATTGAAGTCTCTTCATTTGCTCCAAATTTATAAATTTGTTACAATTTTCCATGTATATAATCTAATTAGTGGAGGGTTATTTCAAATTCATGCTGCAATGCTTTATTAGGGAAAGCAGTGGCAGGGGGCAGACAGGGAGGTAGTAGGGCTAGGGACAGACATTCAAAAAGCCTGAGCCTGAATTGATTCAATCTTTGCAGGTTAGTTTAACTTGGCAAGGCTAAACCAGTTGGTAATCACACAGACATCCCTTTTGGACTGAAAAAAATGCCAGCACATGTCTGCAGTAGCTCAGACTAGAAGCCGGTGGGGGTGGGGGGGACTAGAGCAGCCCTCCCTTCCCTTCCTCAGTGCTGAGCTGCATGGGGCATGGGCAGGCCCTGGAAAACATTTGTGATAACAGAGCATTTATCAACTATGTTATCAGTATTTAGCATCCCGTCAGAAAACAAAGCCTAGCTTGTTAGTTCAAGCTCTCCTTAAACAGCTTTTTCCAAAGAAAGAAATGCAGGGACATTACCAGTTGACTTGTTGATTAGCTTCAAAAAGCCTTAAGCGGACACTGTCCTATTTGCTCTACATCTCAGCATTAGCTAGCATACCACATGTTGGCTATGGCCCATGCTGTGAGAGAGAAGGAAGGGATCCCTGCTTAAGCAGTGAGTACTGTGCCTGCAAGTCTCTGCTGGAGCTCTAGCCAGGGAGCAGAGGGGCAGGGCCAGCCCTGCTGTGGAGCAGAGAGCCCTGCCCAGCCCAGAGAACTTACCAGGATGCTGGAGGAATCTGATTCAACTCAAATCAGCAAGGGGTCTGGGGCAGATATTGCATAAACTGTTTGACCCAAGTTTATTAAGTCTGATACTATATTTAACCATGTTTATTTCGAAATGGTTTCGACCTTTTTCAGACTGGTTTACGTGCACCAAACATCTGTTCTGTTACAGGTTTAAACCAGTTTCTGATCACTTAAACCAGTTTGTGTGTAATGTCTGAGCCCAGCCTGGAGAGGCAGTCAGAGGCATGTGGTGGGGGGGGGAGTCAAGTAGCCTGTCCCCTGCTGCCTTTCCCCCTGGCCCACTTGCCCCACCTGCTGCCTGACCCCAGGCACCTGCCTCCCTTGTACCTGCCCTCCCATCTGGTCCCCCTTATTTCCTACTGCCACCCCCCACTGCCTTTGCTTCCCCATCTCTTTTCCCCTCTGCCATCATCCCTTAGCCCTTCTTACCTTCCAGCTCTGGTCCTGCTGCAGCATAGGGTACAGAGCATGTGCTTGCTCCAGGCCCATCCTGGCCTGGTAAGCAACAGCAGCAGTGGCACCTCCAGCCCAAGCTTTGGCTTTCAGATAGAGCTGCTGCTGCTACTGCAACAGCTGTTACTGGGCCAGGCTAGGGTTGGAGCAAACATGTGCTCCGTACCTGGGGCTGGGTGGGGGGTCCTGCCAGAGCTAGAGGGTAAGTGGGGAATGGTAGACCAGGCAGAGAAGAAAGGGCAGCAGCCTTGTATTTGATTCAAAGACAAGGAGCTTCCCTCTGCCCCCCACCATGTTAAATGGGGGGAAAAAACATGGTCTTATATTCAAGTAAATATGATATACATACATAGTTATTTTTTCAGTGGAATTTTTTGCTTGATATATAAAGTTTAAGTTAACAACAACTGTTAGCAGCAGCAGTATCCCTTGATAGCCTACTTTTTTTAGGCTTACAGCATTTTTCCAACTAAAAATATTGCTAGTTGAATAAAAATCTGGAACGAAAATAAAAAGCAATACTTTCTCATAGGAGATCTAGGGTATTTATAGATGTAGAGATTTGTGGTAGATCTCTATTGCAGTCATTGCATATTGCTAGCCTGGGTAGAGTTAGTAGCACAGAGTTTGTAATATTGTAAAACTTGCCCAAGAAGCTGAGTAAGTATTGGGTAGTTTTTTCACACCAAGCTTTGTGTTACCACAGCTATGTGGCTAGGTGTACCTGAGCTAGCTAAGAAATCATGTTAAGAAATTGTGTAAATATCTTGTAACTTGCTAAAGAAATAAATATTTGAATAACAGCATATTTGACTGACAGGATTTATTTGTAGTAGTAGTTTATTTACAGCTTTAGTTAAAATGATACAGTGCAATTAACAATAAAGTTACATATTATAATGTAATAATATAATTCCATGATTTGTGGTTATTGGTAAAAACAGAAAATAAAATTTCACATTCTATTAATTTGTAGGTAAAATCAAACACAATATATGATGTTATATAAAAGTAAATAAAATGAAACAATATAAAATAATGGAACAAAAATTAAAAACAGGGAATTTTATTTGATTTTTTTGGTCCTTATTCTTTGTCTAATCAATGCAAATACACCCAAGGAGTATAGAATGGGCTCTAAGTTGTTACAAGCAAAATTGTTTTTAATTCATTAGCTCAATACTTTTAAAATTTCCACTAATGGACAGATCCATTTCCTTTTTATTTCTTCAAAAAATTAACCAGACCACAGATAGTTATTTAGGTCACCGATCTCATTACTCCTGCAAAAACATAACCTGTCTGAATATAGGGTCCAACACAACCTTGTCCCACTAACTGCAGAATGAACTGCCATCTAGTAATGGTTTCTTCTTGTTTGTGTTTTTGTACTTAACACAGATGTTTCTAGTCCAGAAGAATGTGCTTTATTAATATCAAAATGGGGAAGTTTGATAATCTCACTGCCTGCATATCTATCCGCATGCTGATGTCTTTAATTCTTAAATGTATATCTTGTTTTAAATATGTGGGAATATGGGCCAGTAGCTTATTAATACTTTTCTCAGGCCATTTGTTTGGATGAGAGTATAAATGTTACTTAACTGTACAAATATGTATTTATCTGGAAGAGAAAAGGCTTCTAAAATATACTAAGGGTATCGTATAGGGGTATAAGCTCTATTTTTATCCAATAATTTAGTTTTTAATTCAGCTAAAGGGCTTACATTAATTTCAGGCTCCCTTCCCCTCCATGGCGTAGCATTTAGTAGAGATGAAAGCTGTCTTAAAAAGTAATTGGATTTTTTTTTATATTTTGCAATGAAACATGCAGTCAGTACCCCATAGTTTCACTCCACACAATAAAATGGACTTTACCTTAGATCTGTAGAGCATTAGTGCTGCCAGTATAGCCCTTCTAATGGTTTTAGGCTAAAACTCAACCTAAAGTTTGTTTTGCTTCAGTGCTCATATTGTCAGTGTTTTTCCAGATCATAGTTTTATTAAAATAAATGTTGAGGTATTTAAATGAGAACACTACCTCTAATTTCATTTTCTGTAAAAGCCATATATGCTTCTTTCTTTGATTCCCAAAAAACAACATCTGTGATGTAATAGTGTTGGCTTCCAACCTGTTTGAGAGGCAGTATTGTTGAAGAACATCTAATAACGTGGG